AACAAAATGATTAATTCATGTTCAATTAATTTATATTCATTTATTGAAAACCTGACTTCAAAAAACACTAAAAAAGGTATCACAGTAAACTTACCTAATTTCTTAAAAGACGTCAAATCTAAAATTGTGACATATAAATAGTTTTTTTGGTTACGCTTCACATGATAATAAAAAGGGACTAAAATAAAAATGCTTATTAATATCATTAATTACTTGAATAAAAGGATACTGTTTTTTTATTTATCACACAAATTTCATAAAAGAGACGCTATGAAAAATGTGAAACCTATATAAGAAACCAATATATGTGATTTGTGAACTTGCAAAAGCTTAATATATTAAGAAAAAATTTAGCGTGAAAAATAGATGGTAATGTTAAGATTAGTGAAATGTAAACTTGATATGTAATTAATTTTTCCTTTTTCCCTTTGATATCCTCTTCTTAATTATATTTTTAGTATAATTTCTCTAGATTGCTTTTGATTAATTTTTACTTTTTCAATATTTTGAAAATTAATATTTGTTTTTACTTATTACTTCCTATGTATTGAAAAAAAGTTAATTATCTTTTATATATTTAATGGATATTATTTACCTTTACATTAATTATTTATTCTTCAAACTAATACTCTCTCGGTTCTTATTTATATGTCTCCATTTTAGATTTCATGTTCCTTAAGAAATTATCTGAGTTTACCATTGTACCCTTATCTAGTATTCTCTTGAAGTCAAGTTTCAATAAATGAACATAAATTAATTTATTTTGATTAATTAAATTGGACAATGAACATGAATTAATCATTTAGTTTTCCTAGATTGGTTAAATTTATACTTTCAAGGCTAATAACTCCAAGGGTAAAATAGGAAGCATAATGTCATTTATGCATTGATTTTGTGAAATGACAAATATTAAGGACCATCTATTCTTAATAAGAATGACATATATATAGGAACGGAGGGAGTACGACCATTTTTAGTTGTCATGTTGCGTTTTTCGAAAGTTAATTTGACTCATTTTCAAATCTAAATTATATTACATTAGCTCGATATTTTAAAATAAAAATTTAGATCTTCAAAAACTATTCAACAGTACTATAAATTATAATCTATTATATCAATATAATAAAAAAGTAAACTACATAAATCCCACTAGTTTAGGTCATAATTACTAGGATTCACGATAGTTTGGAATATTACTTTCTATACCATATTTCGGCCTTTGAATAAATGTATCAATCCTTGCTAGATACATTTATCCGTCAATTTTAAAAATCGAGATACATGATTTATTAATTTGAATTAAAGAGGTGTAACTTATTTCCTTAATTAAATGAGTAATTAATGATTAATTAACAATTCAAGCGGATTTAAAGCATCACAAATGCTTAATTTAAGGAGAAAATCACTCTTTTAACAACTTTTGAGTATAATTACTCTAACAATTTCTTTTAAAAAAATAGTAAAAAAAATCTAATTTCTTCCTTTTATTTTCCAGCAACAACAAAGTGAACAACTTTTTCCAAAAATTCGAACTTATATCTTTGAATTTTGAGATTTTTTTTTTAATGTTTCATGTGTTAGAGAACAATGTGTATCTCGTACTATGTATCTGATTCATGCACCTAATTTCATTAAATGTATTTCATTAGGTGTATCTGTTATATACGTATATCTAATACATAACATGTATTTGAAACTTGTTATGTATCTAATTATTCGATATTAATCTTATTAATGAAATTTGATTCGATAAATGTGTGGTTCGTCTTTGGTAGATCTTTATTATGGCTAACTGCACCAACAATGAATTTGTGATTGCCGTAATTTCATAAAAGCGTGATCTACAACGTTTTCATTGAAGTATGACCAGATACACGATAGAGCTGTCTCGGATACATGGCAGAACCGTCTCAAATATACTAAAGGAAACACACTAGATCATGACAAAAAGATCTCATATATATAGAATAACATACTTAGATACATGACAGAAAACAACTCATATATATTTGATAAAAATACATATACATTTAATAAATAAACAAATATATAGAATAAGGATATTTCTATATAGTAGAAGAGAGAGTTTCAACATGTCAATTTTTGGGTATTAAACAAAAGTTTGAGGGTATTCAAGTCTTTACAAAGTTTTATTAAATAAAGTTGCTACCATAGTTATCTTTTATGCTTTATTAATTGGACTCCATCTAAAGCTCTAAAAAAAGCTCATCCTTTTATCACTTAATTAGAAAGCATAACCCTATAATTCCATGGAAGCTGAAGATAGGATGTGTCCCATTAGTCTTTATAGAGTATTTTTAAATTTGTTTGGTGAATAGAAGCACACTATTTTATGTATTGGGCATAAGTTAAATATTATTTTGTGTGTTAATTTTATTTATTCATTTTTAAAAGATAGATTTTATTTTTACTTGTTATTATTAAAATGCAAAGTGAGGACAATAGTTTTCTTATATTTTATTTTTAAAATTAATTACTTTTAAAAAAAAATATTTTTCAACACCTAATATTAAATATTAATTAATAGGAGTATTTTGTGAAAAAAATAGTTATGTTAATTATTATTTTCTTAATAGATGAATGTGACAAATAAAATTGAACAAGAGAATATATACACTTCAAAGTTATATTGAGAAAATAATTTGTGAAAATAAATAAATAATGAGGAAAACCAATAATACGATGCAAGTGTTATTCTTCAATTTGGTGGGATTTTTTGTGAAATCAATTCATATCAATTAATTATAATTAATAACATATATAATTGTTTTCTAATTTAAATCTTATATTAAAATATTTGCTCTTACACTTGTTCATTTTAGCAAATTAAGTAAAAATAATAATTCGTATAATATATCTTTTATATTAAATAATTATATGAAATACTAATGGTCAATTTTATTAATATTTTATATTTTCTTTTTATATAATAAAAATCTATCTAACCTATAGTTTTAATTAAAGAAACCTAATAATTGATCTGGTTCAATTCAATGTGGTCATTATTTTAGTTTCTGGAATTTGACTATTTGAAAAACATCTTTCGCAAATGCATACTATACTTCTAAATAATTAGGAATTTAGATTTATTTAGAAAATTAGTAATAAATATAAATGTTGGGCCCGTACTGATACGGGCCATTTTTTCTAGTATACATAGAAGAAAGGGAGATACATATGCATCCAGTTCTGAAGGGAAGATTGCAAAATATTCCAATTCAACCTCTCTTTCATCATAGTTGGAAACTCTGGTGTTTGTTAACCCCATGAAATGTAAATTAGCAATAAGTGATTCAAGTCTCTGACTCCTTAATCTCATTTGCATCAATACTACACCATATCAACGATGCAAATTTTTTGTTCCTATTTTTACTCAAACAAAAAAAAAAAGAAATCAAAATTTATGCAAATAAATATCCAAGAAAGATTGTATTACTCAATAATTAGATTGTATTGCTCCGTTTTCAATTCACTTTTTGATGGTTTAGTGAAGAAGATCTACGAGGGAGAAGGAAGAAAGAAAGAGAATGAGGAGATGAAGTTAGGATAGGAGATTGAGGATGAAGAAAGAGAAAATATGATAAAGGTGATGTAGTACGTGGGGGGTTGGGGGGGAGATATACGGTTGGCGTGGAGAACTGGTGTTATGTGAGAGAAAGTAATTTTGAAATGTTAATATTCCATTATTTAAGGAGATTAGATTTTAAGATAATTAGGTAATACCATATCTAGAGTTTCAAAAAGGGCCAGTCCAGCCTCACCCTGCCCAAGCATCATGGGCCAAGAAATTTGATGGGTTAGGGTGTGTTGGCTCTTCATCAGGAAGGGCCTGAAAATGCTCAACACAACCCAACCCTAGAAGGGTCATGGGCTGGGGCAGGCTAGCCCTTCTTATTTTCTATTTTTTTCTTTTCAAAATTAAAATTCCATGACATCAAATATGGTGAACAAATGGTATTGTTTCAATAACACTAACAAAAACTCTAGTGTGATTAGCATGTATCTAGGATACTATATACGCGAGATACATGTATCTGGTGTGATGCATCCTAGATACACGAGCGAGATAAGAGAGTGGCGAGCGAGATGGGAGGGAGGCAACGGCGCGAGATTTGTCAATGTATCCTAGATAAATGTGAATATACTTGGATAGACTGTATCTAGAACAAATTACATCTAATTTTGAGTCCATGTATTCCGAGATACATGTATCTTGACACACAAAAATCTGGTAAGAGTCGTACTATTACAACATTGCGTGCATCTAAGTAATTAGCTCATACACTAGTGAAGTTTCTGTAAATTTCCCTTAAACAAATAGTTTTGGTTCATGGGCCAACCCCGATCAAGCCTCAAAGGCCAAGGGCTTATATGGGTCGGGCTTATAAGCCCCAGTTTTAAAGTGGCTTGAAAAATCCTATCCCAAACCTACCTCGATAACGGGTTGGGTTGGATCGGTTCATGGGCTAAGCCCATTTTAACGGCTCTAACCATATTTAAGAGATTTATGTATATGATTTAACTTTTTAAAATATATGGTATAATTATCAAAAATGGTATTATATGTAAATTTTTTTAATTTAAAGGTAATATATATATATATATATATATATATATATATATATATATATAATAGTGAAGTATATCTAACTAATTTTTTCAAAAAAAAAAATGTTAATCAAAATTTATAACGTTAGACACAAAAAAATTATGAGGACTAAAAAAGTGAAGTGAAGGAATAATTTGTTGGAAGAAAAAGTCAAAAGGAATAAGAATCCCTATTAGATTAGTAATGGCATGGCACGTAATATTCGGAGGAAATAGGGCCAATTCTTTAGGAGGATGGTCCAGTCAAAGTTGATACGCAAGCAACAAACTATATACTATACTATAATAAATAGTTAGAGATATTTTAGCAGAAAAATCAAAAATAGTAACAGCTGCATTAATATAGGGGCAGTAGTACGTACATCTACAAGAGTTTTGAAAATGGGTATTCAGTTGGAGAATTTTGTGGAGTCGATAAAGTCGAAGGTGAGAAAATTGAAGAAATTGAAGAAGCCATATATCAAGATGGACAAAAGTTCGAGTGTCAAGGTTGAGATTCGCAGCAAGAAAGCTCGTAAGCTTGTCGAGAAAACTCTTCAAGCCGCTGATCGTCCTGGCAAGCGTAGCCTTTAATATTTACCCATAGATTTATTTAGATGCTGCCATGGATTATATATTAATTTCACATTCACCAACAAAGCGGAGGTAAATTCAGAATTTAGAGATATTGGGTTCAAAATAGTTGTATTTGATTATATACATTTTACTTAACTTTTTCGTTCACTCTGTTCATCATCGATCGGAAAAGTTGGCCCTTTGGACTTTGATTGTGAGTCTAGTCTCGATTGCCTGATGTCTCTCTATATTTGTTTAAAGTTGGGAATCCTTTTTGGTTTTTTTTTTTGGTAGGTGATTGTGAAAAGGAACAAAATCTAGGCAATTTTTGTTAGTGAATTTGTAACTTGAGTTTGAAAAATTAGATGATATCTTAAGACTTTTTTGAACATGAAATATATCTTGTGGGCGCTTTTGGGAACGACTCCCTCTGTTCCTGTTTTACTTGTTACATTCCATTTTATGAGGGATAGTTTGATTAATTTTTGGAGCTAAATTGTGTTAGAATAATTTAGATGTTCGAAAACTATTTGAAAAATACTAGAAGTTGTAATCTTTCTCATGTAGTATATCTTAAAATGTCAGTCAAAGTATATGCAATTTGATTCTCGAGAAGCCACATGTGAGAAATAAAAAGGAACGAACGAGAAATAAGATACCACCCCGTTCATTTTTACTTGTCCACTACTATTTTGGAATATGCAACAATACTTATTTAGTTTATAAAAACAATTAATAATTTACTACGCTGTGTCTATTTTACCCTTGTAATTGTACTGTATTGCTTTTTCAATGTTTAGATGAATTATATTTAATAAGGGTGATTTTACTACTAAGTCACCCTTATCATTTACTGTTTTTTAATCTTCTATATCAAATTAATAATGGACAACTATTTTTGAGGGTTGTGACTGCATTAATAGTTGGTAATGTATTATTTATTGACACATTAAATAAATATGTTAATTACTGCTGCTAGTCTTTGACTCTTGTATTATGGGAGTAGGTTTTTAAGTTTTAACCCAATAACATTAAAAGTTGCATGTTGATTGCTGGGGTACGTATGTTGAGCCATATTTAGCAGAATGGGTAGAACAGACAGTGCCATCATGGCAACATGGCCACGAGAATGAAAGACCATTTCTAGAAGGAATGTAACTTTACCACTAGTGACGAAAACAGAAAATTTTAGAAATCGTAAACATGATAGATCTAGACATGATAAGGTTTTATAGATATAATTTTGATAATTGTGCTTTATAACTATAGTTTTGTTTGCTATGAAGATTGCGGTTTGTATATTTCTGCCAGTTTATATATTTCGTATGCAAATATACATATAAGGTAAGTATATACCAAACCTGTATTTATATTTAAGAATTTTTTAGAACTTCATTTGTATATTTCACTTGCCAATATACAAACAGGGCAATTTATTATGAATTTTTCATAAATCGTATACAAATAGCGAGGGTAAGCATACAAAAAAATTCTGAATTTATACAAATCAGAAGAATTATACAAATTAGGCGAATAACAAAAATTGAAAAAACTATAGCTGCAAATTACAATTTACTTAAACTGTAGCTACAGTACCTAATATAAGCGAAATGTTTACTATTCTACATAATTTTTCCTTTTTAAATTTAAGACGCACTCTTCCATTTGAGCAGAATTTCTACTAATTATTTAAAATATTGTTGCATTACTAAAACCTAGCTTAAAATCAATGGTCAGAATTGATGGACAACGTCTATTTTTTTTTTTTTGGATGAACTATTCAAATGTGGTGAACTCTTACTTGCAAATCATACAAATATAGTCATTTTCCTTTTATGTGAGGTGTTGTTGGATTTTGCCAAATATGAATGAGAAATATAATATTCAAAATGGAGAAAATGACAAATTCAGAAATGAAAAGTTTCTTTTTACAAATGGACTTTGTCCCTTGTTGGCAAGGGAAAGCAAGACTAGTATGTTTATATAGAAAACGGGCTAGACTTGGGTCAAGAGGGTTCATATGAACTCACTTCGTAAATTTTTCATTTTAGAAATGGACTTTGTCCCTCATTCGCAAGGGAAAGCAGGACTAGTATGCTTATATAGACACAAGGCTAGATTTACATTGGATCAAGAAGGTTCATATGAACCCACTTTGTAAAATAAGTACACGATATATATACTTATATTTGATTTATCTTATGAAAAATACAAGTATTAAAAAAAAATGGATCCCATTTAAGCAAAAGACAGCTCTTGGTCCAGTAGTAAATTTGGTTATTTTTGTAAAAGTGACAATTCAAAATCAGACAACAACACACTAATTTATTAGCTTTTTTGTGAATTTTTTCTTCATATATTGAACTGTGAATTTTTTCTTCAGATATTGAACCCGCTTGGAAAAATCTTAAACCTACTACTACTATATAGAAGCACCTTTTCTAGCTCTTAAAGAGTTGAAAAAAGAGTCCCGTTTGAGATGTTTGAATTTAGTCAAATGATGTAATAGATATATGGTTTTTTTCTTTGGATCAAATTAACTTCACTAATTAAAGGTGCAAATACAAACTCCAAAATTATCCCTGTCCTTTCAGAGTTGCTGGCATCTCAATCATGTTTATCCTTTGGAGAATTACAATTGCAAAGTCACAAGTTCCATTTTGGAGGTGAGACAGAACAATTAAAAGGGGACTAAAGACTCATTAAGCTAGGAAATCTTTGTCTAAGCAGAGAGATTAGCTTATACATGTAGTGGAGCATCAATACGAGCAGAGTTCTCTTCCTAAGTGAAAATGATCATCTTCAATTGCTGCTGCGCGTGAGTTTAAGAGTTAAGAGAGATAGATAGATATATGACATGTTGAATCTTGTATGCTGATAAATGGGAGCTTTCCTAATAAACTTTCCAATGCAATCAGGCTGGCTATGCATACTCACACTGAGAAACAGTTATTTATCAGATATGCTACCCATCACCCAGGGAAATTAATTAATTTCCTTGATTTGAATTTCACCTCAGTCATTACAGCTGATGTGTCCCTTCTAGCTACTACTCAAGCAGGCTTCAGATTGGAGAAGACAATTTGAAATCTTATTCCTACTTTACAATGAACTCAGAGAGACTATGGAGCAGTCAGGTTTTAATGGTTCAGAGAATGCAATCAATTGGGGGATAGACTCACTCCTCTAAGTCACACATACACTAAACCTTATTTAATTAGTTACATAACTTCTCTGAACTAACCTAATCTGATTAAGGGACTCTTGAATCCCTTTACGGATTTTCAACATGAAAAAAGCAAGAGATTTTCTTTCAACCACCTTGAAGAATGAGGATCTTGTATAATTTTTTGTAGGTAACCCACCTCTAGTTTAGGTGTTTTTCATATTCATCTAGGCTTTTACCTCGTCGTTCTTTCTTTAGATAGATCAGTTGTCCTACAATCTTATAAACACCGTCCTCAAATCATATGTAATACAATTTGGATGATGAAAATATGTGCAGTTGGTTTAAAAAGAAAAACTTTACTAGATTGGAATGCTATATTCTCGAAGAGATTGCCGATTGGCTGTTCTCAGTTGTTTGCCACAATTTACTCTTTATCTTTACCTATTTGACATTTCATTAATGACTTCAAAGATCGTAATTTGTACCTATTCTTTTGCTAAACCAAACACTCCAACATTTTGTTGTCAACATCAAATCAGATGTATTAAGCAAGCAAATATACAATACTACCATTACTCTTTTGAAAGAACAAATTGAAAGCTTTACATACCCATTATCAACAAGCTAGCTATACTTGTCGCTGAACCGATGACTCCTTTGTCAAAATCCAACCACCCCAAAACTCCATAACAGTAAAGATAAGCTTCTCTCTTAAACAAAAACGCAAACACCTTACATACAAAACTATTCATCACCCTCAAATCCCCCACCAATTTCACAAATCTTATCCCAAAACCCCTTTTCCACCGGCACAACAGACAACCTACTCTGTTTAAAAAGCACAAAACCCTTCAACCCTTCATCCCTTTTCATCTCCGCAAGGTCCACAACCCTCCTCATCTCACCAACCGCCTTGACATCCACGGCGCCACCACCGTCATCATCATCATCTGTGTACCATTCACGCGTCACTGAGACTACACCAACTATCCTCCGGGCTTTGGACCCAGAGTGGTAGAAGAAACAGAGATCTCCTATGTTCATGGACTTTAGATACTTCTGGGCTTGCTTGTTTTTTACTCCATCCCACTTTGAAATTCCTCCATTAGCTTCTTGGTCCTCCCATGACCACTCTCCTGGTTCTGTTTTCAGTAACCAGTACTCTGTTTTTCGCCCCATTTTGTTCTCCTTTGAGCTTCCCTGATTTTGTTTTCCTTTTTATATTATTTGTTTGGGGACGGTCAATTTCTTAATGGCGGGAGTCTAATAGCTTTGGCGCCAAAAACCAGATTTTTTTTTTTTTTTATTATTATTGAAAAAAAGTTTGATATACATTTTAACTTTATCATTTAAAAAATGATATACCTTTCATTATACAGATAACTCTTATTTATCATTTTTCTCTAACAATATTAAAAAAAAATCAATTTTAAACTTATTTTATTTTGTTATAAAATATTCATTAATAGGTATATTTGATACTTCTCACACATATTTTCTGCTTCTCTAGTTTAACGGCTAATTTAATTTATTAATTTGATCGTTAAATTTATTTCTTCACCAAATTTCTTGTAAAATTTATCATATATGCCCAATTTTTTTTATAGATACAAAACAATACAATATAGCAAAAAAAATCAATTTAAATTTTTTTTCTTACTTTTTTCTCTTTTTCCAAACACACTTCATTTATTTCTCATATTTTTGCACTAAAGGATAAAAGAGAAAAAAATAAAATATGAATTAGAAACTCAAATAATGATAATCAATGAAGTAAAAAAATCATATGTTAAAAGGATTATATACAACCCTATATGAATTTTTCCAAAAATTAAAAATCAAAAAGTAAATTTAAAATTATTTATTTCAATTTTGTTTAAAGGGTATAAGTGAGCCATTTTTTATAACAGTAGGGGTATATGTAAGTCATTTTTATAACAGTATGAGTATGAGTATGGTATATGTGAGACATTTCTAATAACAACATGAGTATATGTGAGCCATTTTTTTAAGGTTAAACACATGCATACCATTAAACTTGTTCCTAAATTTTAATTTGACACTCGAATTCAACCTTGTTCCATTTTAACCCTTCAACTCTAATTTTTATGTTCTATTTTGGCACTTCTTTCCAAAGAATCAACAAAGTGGGATGTGTGTACTTTACATGTCATGACATGTCACAAAAACCAATTAAAAACGCATACACAACTCCTCTAACTTGCCCCTATTAAAGACGAAATGATCTTATGGACCCTTATACTCATATGAGTTTGTATTTGAACTCTTCTACTTGACTCTTTGTCAGCTGAACCGTTAAACTCAATTAAAATGAGACTTTCAAATCCCTCCAACCATGTGTGTAGCTCACTCTCTCTTACATAAATGACATGTCATATTCACGTTGCATCTATTAATGTCATGTCATAATAATTTCATAACTATTTTTAAATTATTAACCAAAAATGTTACTCCACAAAGGACAAAAATAATAAGTTTTCTATTTTAAAAAATAAAATAAAATAATTATTCCTCTCACCTTTCCTTCTCCTTCCTCAACCCACAACCACCATTAACACTATCTCTATTATCCTTAAATTTTTTTTCTTCTTCAGACTGTCATTGTCTATTACCGTGACAAGGACCTACAAGTTCTTAAAAATCATAGTTCAATTTTGCTCAAAGTTTTTATCATTCGCAAATGTAACCATCTACCATCATTTGAACCACCATAAATCCTTTTTTACCATTGATGCCAATAAATCACCATTAAAATACTTCAATATATCATAATATTTGTACACAATTTTACATAACATATTTCACTTAATTTCACAAAGATATCCAACAATCACTTTTCATCCTTCAAAACTATTGAATCTTTGTCACTTCATGGGTTGTAAATTACCAAAAAAAATGGAAAGAAAACATAGATCTACATCGACAATACATTATCGTTTCTCATAAAGAAAGAAAATATGAAAATAAAAATAAAAAAGAGAGAACAAAGAAATTGGAGAGGGCTGGGAAGGAGAAAAAGAGAGAAATAAGGGTTGGTGGGGAAGGAAAGAAGAAAGAAGTAAAAACAATCATTTTTAATTACTTATTTTTGTTTTTTTTTAAAATAATTAATATTTAGTCTAAATTTTGATGTTCACGCTCCTTCAACACGTGATATCACGTATTTGTGCCAAATCAATAATTAAGTTGCCACATAAGCATGGTCAATGATCAGAAGAGCTTAAAATATTAAGTATGATTGAGTTTAAGGGTTCAGTTGACAAAGGGTCAAGTAGAAGGGTTCTGAATACAAACTCGTACAAGTATAATGGTCCATCAGACCATTCTGCCTTTTTCATTTTGTCATGCTAACTTAGTTTCGTTCCATTTTAATCCTTCAACTCTAATTTATATAGTATCATTTAAACACAAAATACTAAATTTATGAATTCTTTATTTTTATTTATACTCTTCATTTTCACTTTTTCACTTTAAAAATCAACGTCATATCTTTTTAAAAAAAAAAATAATAATAGTGAATGAACATCATTTTAAAATAAATATATATTTTTAGATTTTCTGTACATTATTGTGTGAAAAAATATTTCGACGAAAGTGTGTTGGTTTTCTTTTTTTAAACAATTAATTAAATTAAATAACACCACGTATTTTTTTTTCATATCTAGTCTATTTGGACTAACTCAAATATCAGCTTTCTAATTTTTCATTCAACTAAGTACGAGTAAAAACAAACTCATGTTCATTGCTAATTAATAACACTACAAAAAAATGTTGAAACTCGATAGACTTCGTTGGGTTGTCATTGATTTTCTTAAGAAAGAAAATCGATGCACTTTCGTCGGTTATTTTTCACGCAAAAATATAGAAAAACTTTTTAAAAGAAATTGTTACTTTTAAAAAAAAATCAATGATCATCCGTCAATTTTATTTTTTTACAATAACTAACGGATGAACGCCAATTTTTAAAATGCAAAATTGCAGTTGAATAACATATATAGAAATAAAGAAATCATAAAATTAGTATTTTGTGTTAAACGATACATAAGAAAAGTAGAGTTGAAGGATAATCTTTTATTATTTTTAAAAAAAATACTCTTTTTTGTCTTTCACTCTCTTAGAGAAAGTGTGATGCACACACTCTGCCACATCACTTAGAAGTGCTGAAATGGAACATAAAAATTGGAGTTGAAGGGTTAAAATGGAACAAGGTTGAGTTGAAGTGCCAAAATAAAATTTAGAGACAAGTTTAAGGGTTTGCATATGTGTTTGTCCTTTTTTTAACGATGACATATCAGCTCTAAACGAAAAAATTAAAATGTATATCATGCCCATTTCCCTTTTATTTTAATTAATTCGCTTTTAAAATTTTTAGGGTTGACATGTGTTGATGAATAATGGAAGGGAAAAAACATTAATTCAACCCTGAACTTTTCCCGAAAAGTCAATTGCATGCTTAAACTATCATGACAACATCTTACATACCTGTACTACTCAAAAGTGAATGTATTTACCCCCTGAGATGTATAGCACCACTCTCACAATGAGAGATATATCACACTCGTGCCACATCAATGTCATCTCACTATCACATCAAATATCATGTCAGATTTCGAAAGAAAAAAATTCATGTCATTCAATTGCTTCTTCTTGAATGAACACCACCATGGAATCACTATCATTGCCACCATATTGGTACCAAATCCAATTTCATTGTCAAAAATCAAAATAGATGCTACAAATTTCATCACCTACGATTTAAATTATCATCGAAATCACGCTATCACCATTGTCCCCACAAAAATTTGTAAGGAATCACCACAAAATTCAATACCGATAGGCCATAACCAAAATCACATCATCACCATCAAAAGGTACAAACCCACCACCAAATATCACCACCACCATTATCAATATCAATTTCTTTTTTTCGCCACCTTCAATTTCATCTTATTTTCTACCCACGACCCATTACCAACAAATTTACCATTATATTTTAATTTTTTTTAACTCAATCAATAATTTTATCAATCACTAACAAAATCGAAAAAGAAAAATCATATGTAATAAAGATGGTAAAATCAGATAAGAAATAAAATACAATATGGAGGGTGGGGAAGAGAATTTGGTAGAGGTTGGAAGTGGGGTGGGGTGGATGAAAACCATGTATGAAAGTTGATGAAAAATAAAAAGAAAATGAAGAATGTGGCTTGGGTGGGGAGTGAAGAAGAAGAGGCGTGGAGTGAGGTGAGGGTAGAGTCGTGGTGGTGGGGGTAGAGTGGTGGTGGTGGAAAGAAGCTTTTAATTTAAATTTTTTACATTATTTTTTTACCAAACACGCTTTTTTCTAATTTTTATTTATTCCCCCCCCCCATTAATTTAGGGGGTAAATAAATTCACTTCTGAGTAATACATGCGTGTAATAGATCGTCATGATAATTTAAGAGTGTAACTGATTTTTTGAGACAAGTTTAGGGGTGAATTTATGTCTTTTCCCTTAATGAAAAGAAGAAAATACAAGTGAAGATCAGATGCAATTATAACACAAAACACATTTTTTTAATTGGCTTCTTACGTTAGGGAAAAAGGAAATTTAATAAAAGTGGGCATATGTATATATCCTGTGTTATATATATGGTCATATGTATATATCTTTTTAGGGAGTGAACGAACTTCTTGACAAGATAGTCTTCGTAGGTCCCATCGAGTGGTGGCAATTTCAACCCATATAAGTGAAATGGAACCATTTTTCTCATATTAAATTAAATGGATCATTCATATTTTTTTAAATGGATAAATATGGACTTAAACCTATTTAAGCTTATACAAATATGGACAAAATGGGTAAACATTAAACAAAGTGTTGGGGGTGGAGGCAGGTGGTGGTGCGGAGTACGGGTTGCCAATTTTATTTTATTTTTAAAAAAAAGTGTTTTTGAATCTTTTTTTTTGGGAGTGGGGGAGGGGTAGGGTTGACAAAAAAATATTCTTTTAAAAAAATTTAAATTTTTCTTTTTCCGAAGAAAAAGTTTTTTATTTTTTTTGGGGGATGGGGTCTGGTGGGGGTGGGGGTAGGGGTTGCCATTTTTTTTTTCAAAAAAAGTTTTTAATTTTTTTTTTGGTGGGGGGGGGGGTACATGGGTGGGGTGGTAAGAGTAGGG